GGACAATTATTCTTATTGCCACATTGCCAGACAGGACACTGTAAAAAATAAAATAAAATGTCCAGCAGGAAACCCCAAAGCCAGATACAGCTGAATGAGCTTAGTGCTTGGAAAAAATCTTTCATTCCTTTAGAGACAGCATGAAAAGTCAGCTGAGTACAAAACATAGAGAGGAAAACAAGAAGAAAAGGGACAAGAAGAGAGGGACACAACCTAGAACAGATAATAGATATCTATTCTAGTAACATTTCTATATCTGGAGAATGGGGCTGTTTTATGTCTTCTCTATTCAGAGGGCCCCCTGCCTGTCTTTGCCTAGGGCCCCACATTTCCTAAATCCGCCCCTGCTTCGACCCACAAACGTTCTCCTATAGAACATCCCATGTCTTCTCATCCGGCTCTTTATGGACCTTTCCTGGTTCTGGAGCTCAGCCACGTTCAGACGAGGAAACTTGGATCAGGATGAACAGTAGTGACATCACTGCATGGTTAAAATGAGAATCTTCACCAGAACCAGAATCTTTAAAGTGTGTTTTATTGTCAGAAATCATCTCAGTATAAACATTAGTGTATAAAGTGAGTAATAAATATGACGGCAGGCTGTGGAGAGAATGTGGATTTAGACAGAACCCCCCACCAGGCCCCAGCGCCCCCCCACCCATCGGTCTCCAGCCTTGGTGAAGAACAATTAAATAACATCTAAAGAGCAGCTCTCTGTTCCTGCCAGCAGAGGGCGCTCCAATGAAGGCCCGCCAACATCCTCAGTTGTGATAAAAACAGCTTTCACCTGGTTTCCATCCAGAAGCAGGTAGATAAACATGTGTCCCTGATCATGCGCTTGGTTCTGGAGCGGTTCTGGTCGGCCGCAGTCCAGCTGCTGAGGTGAGAAGGTGTTCGGTCCAAACTACAGTCCTAACGGTCTGGAGCCGAATTAAGCAGCATCTGTTCAGTGTGACGGTACCAACTGGTTTGGATCGGATCTGGTCAGTGTGACGGTACCAACTGGTTTGGACCGGATCTGGTCAGTGTGACGGGATCAACTGGTTTGGACCGGATCTGGTCAGTGCCACGGGATCAACTGGTTTGGACCAGATCTGGTCAGTGCAACGGTACCAACTGGTTTGGACCGGATCTGGTCAGTGTGACGGTACCAACTGGTTTGGACCGGATCTGGTCAGTGTGACGGTACCAACTGGTTTGG